AGGCTGGAATTACAACAACAACAATTCCAACAACAACTATGAGAAAGGAGAAAGCTCAACACGAGGCCGTGGAAGAATCAATCCGAACTCAAGGCATGACAAATCTCAAGTTCGATGTTATAATTGTCAAAAGTTTGGGCATTATGCTTCAGAATGTAGAGCTCCCAACAACAAAATTGAGGAGAAGGTTAACTACGTGGAGGAAAAGACAGATGGCAAAGAAACTCTTCTTCTAACACGAAAGGAAACTGATGGTGGCCAAGCAAATTCCTGGTATCTTGACAGTGGTGCAAGTAATCACATGTGTGGAAGGAAAGACATGTTCGTGGAGCTAGACGAGTCAGTAAGCGGAAATGTTTCGTTTGGAGATGATTCCACAATAGCAGTGAAAGGGAGAGGTAACATTCTTATCCGTTTGAAAGATGGGAGGCATCAATTTATTTCAAATGTCTACTATGTGCCCAATATGAAAAGTAACATCTTAAGTTTAGGGCAACTGGTAGAGAAAGGTTATGATATTCACATGGATAATTATAATCTTTCTATAAAAGATGATAAGAATAACTTCATTGCTAAAGTGCCGATGTCAAAGAATAGAATGTTCTTGATCAACATACAAAATGATGTTGCAAAGTGCCTGGAATCTTGCTACAAAGATGCATCATGGCTTTGGCATCTTCGATTTGGGCATCTCAATTTTGGAGGTCTAGAGCTGCTATCTAAGAAGGACATGGTGAAGGGACTACCTCGTATCAACCATCCTGACCAGTTTTGTGAAGGGTGTCTAGCTGGGAAACAATTCAGGAAAAGCTTTCCAAAGGAGTCAGAGACAAGAGCCAAGAAGCCACTCGAGCTCATCCATACCTATGTGTGTGGACCGATCAAGCCGAGCTCTCTCGGTAACAGTAACTATTTTCTTCTCTTCATTGATGATTTTTCAAGAAAAACCTGGGTATATTTCTTGAAACAGAAGTCAGAAGTTTTTGAAGTCTTCAAGAAGTTCAAAGCAGCAGTGGAGAGAGAAAGCGGTAGAAAGATCAAAGCCATGAGATCTGATCGAGGTGGAGAATTTATTTCCAGGGAGTTTCAAGAGTTCTGTAAAGCAAATGGAATTCGTCGACCAATGACAGTTCCTAGATCCCCCCAGCAAAATGGTGTGGCAGAAAGAAAGAACAGAACAATCCTTGACATGGCACGAAGCATGCTCAAAAGCAAGAAACTACCTAAGGAATTTTGGGCGGAGGCAGTAGCTTGTGCAGTCTACTTGACAAACCGATCTCCAACAAGAAGTGTATGTGGAAAGACACCGCAAGAAGCATGGAGTGGAAGAAAGCCTGGCATTTCCCATTTGAGAACCTTTGGAAGTATAGCCCATGTTCACGTACCAAACGAGAGAAGAACGAAGCTTGATGATAAAAGCGAGAGTTTTATCTTCATCGCTATGATGCTAATTCGAAGGGCTACAAGTTGTATAATCCAAACAATAAGAAGTTTGTGATTAGTCGAGATGTGGTCTTCAACGAAGAAGGAGAATGGGATTTTAACTCTCATACAAATGACTTCAATTTCTTTCCTCAGTTTGAAGAAGATGAGCAGACAATGAGGGAACAACTAGATGAATCTCAACAAGAGCTTGCAACTCCACCCACTTCACCAACATCAACCACTCAAGGAGACTCATCACCTTCGTCATCGTCAAGTGGGAGTCAAAGTGAAAGAGATGTGCAACGCACAAGAAGCCTTAGAGATCTCTATGAGGTAACTGAACGACAAGATAATCTTACATTATTTTGTTTGTTTACCGATTGTGAACCAGTGAGCTTTCAAGAAGCGGTACAAGAAAAGAAATGGAGAGATGCGATGAACGAAGAAATCAAGGCCATCGAGAAGAATGACATATGGGAACTTACCTCACTTCCCAAGGGACATAAGGCGATAGGTGTCAAATGGGTGTACAAAACAAAGCAAAACGCCAAAGGAGAGATTGAAAGGCACAAGGCGAGGCTAGTTGCTAAAGGCTGGAATTGACTATGATGAGGTATTTGCTCCTGTTGCTCGATTGGAGACTATCAGACTAATCATTTCTTTGGCAGCTCAAAACAAGTGGAAGATACAACAGATGGATGTAAAGTCCGCCTTCCTAAATGGAGTTCTTGAAGAGGAACTTTACATTCAGCAACCATCAGGCTATGAAGTCAAAGGGCATGAAGACAAGGTGTTGAAGTTGAAGAATGCTCTTTACGGGCTAAAACAAGCACCAAGGGCATGGAATAGCCGAATCGACAAGTATTTCCAAGAGAATGGCTTCAACAAATGTCCCTACGAGCATGCTCTATATATCAAGATCAAAGATGAAGATATTTTGATCGTGTGTCTCTATGTGGACGATTTGATCTTCACTGGAAGCAACCCAAGTATGTTTAATGAATTCAAGGATGTGATGATGAAAGAATTCGAGATGACAGACATGGGGCTCATGGCGTACTACCTTGGCATTGAAGTTAAGCAACAAAATGATGGAATTTTCATTTCACAGGAAAGCTATGCAAAGGAGATACTAAAGAAGTTCAAGATGGAGAACTGTAAGCCAATAAGCACACCGGCAGAATACGGGATCAAGATGACCAAACATGAAGAAGGCGAAAGTGTAGATCCAACATTCTTCAAAAGTTTGGTAGGAAGTCTACGCTGTCTAACTTGCACGAGACCCGATATTCTTCACGCATTTAGATTGGTTAGTCGCTACATGGAATCTCCAACAACCACCTATTTTAAAGCTGCAAAGAGAATTCTTCGCTATCTGAAAGGTACAATTGACTTTGGCTTGTTCTATTCAGTTTCTAATGATTACAAGCTTGTTGGATATAGCGACAGTGATTGGGGTGGAGACATAGATAATCGAAGGAGCACTATTGGATTCATATTTTTCATGGGAGATATTGCGTTCACATGGATGTCAAAGAAACAACCGATTGTCACATTGTCCACTTATGAAGCGGAATATGTTGCTGCTACCTCATGTGTTTGTCATGCAATTTGGCTTAGAAATCTGTTGAAGGAGATTGGTTTGATACAAGAAGAGCCTACCAAGGTTTGTGTCGACAACAAGTCATCCATTGCCTTAGCGAAGAATCCAGTATTCCATGATCGAAGCAAGCACATTGATATTCGCTACCACTATATAAGGGAGTGTGTTGCAAGAAAAGATGTGGAAGTTGAATACGTGAAGTCACAAGATCAAGTTGCTGATATTTTTACCAAGCCACTGACCAGCGAAGACTTCTTAAGATTAAGGAACCTACTAGGGGTCACGAGATCAAGTTTAAGGGGGGTGTTGGATCATAAACTTGATCCATTATGGGAGCCTAAACCCAAAACCCAAACTAAATTGATGTCATTACTTACATCATTTAATTAAAGATGTCATTGCTTACCTCATTTAAGTAATGATGTCATTGCTTACATCAATTTAGTTAGGTGAGAGTTAGATATTTGTTGAAATTGTAATGGTTTAAATTAGTTTATTTGTGTGGTGTAGGATTGTTCTTGAGTAGTATAAATACCCCTTCCCATTTTAGTTTTAAGCATCAAGAAAAATTAAGAGCTTCTAAGTGAGTGAAGAAGCAAAGTCCTATAAGAGTAAGTTGTAGTTCTTGTTTTTGAGTGAGAGTGCTTGTAATATTTGTTTGAGTTTCAATAAAAGTTGTTTGTGTGAGTGTTTTATTTCCAACAAATGGTTGGTAGGTTTCCACAGAGAACGTTCTATTGGTAAGAGCATTAAGGCCGATATTCCGACCCAGTAATTTAAGAACAAAGGTCTTCGCCATACTTGATTCCATCTTCCGATAAGCACGCTCTGAGAATTGGATCGCGGGAAGGCCAAACTTGGTTCCAGTAGTGAAATCATCATCCGTTAGAATAAACTCCTCATCAAGATCTTCAGTGTTCTTGTCAGAGCTAGCATCGACTCTAGACAGCCTGACACAATATCAGCGAATGACGACTGGGGGTTTACAGAAGTATCGATAGCCATCGGGCCAACAGGCGGAGTGGTTTTCTCTTCCTCCATGGGATGGATATTCATGGAGGCATCAGAATCCGGTGGCGCTGGCGGAGGATCGGTCATAGAATTTCAGAAAATTATTTCTTATTTTTCTGTTCACATGTTTTGTTTGATTGTTCGACTCTATTCGCGCATCGACGGATGCATTAGTGAACTGAATTAGACAAGTTTAACATCTCTCGTTGGAACCAATTCGAATCAAATTTATATGTTAAAGATAATCTAACATCAGATTTGATATTGTATTTGTTAAATATAATGATATTAAGGTTTAATGGATAAACAAACGTTACAGACTTAATTGAAGATGTGTAATAATATAAGGACTTGTCTTCCATTTTCCTAATTTAAATTCGCTAGATAAGTATTGTTTGATTGATCCACTCTATTGGGGCATACATTAGTGAATTGAGTTATCCAAGTTTTTGAAAACGAAATATTTAATATAAATTTCAAAATATATATTTTATTAATTAAAGAATAATAATATTGATCAACACGATCTCCCCAATCGAAATTTCAAAAGATCTCATCTCATGTAAGAACAAAGTCAAATCAATTTTATATATTATAAATCACCTAGCACATATTAGATACTATATTTATTAAATATATATGTAACACTTCAATTAATAATATTTTTTCGAAAATCATGAATTTGAATGTATTTCTTTTCTATTTTTTAAATGATTCTAATAAAAAACGCATTTTGCATAGAAAAATATTATTCTTTTAAATAAAATTCTTAAAAATCATAATCTAATTCATTCCGTAATAAATTGATTTAAAATTTTCAAGAACACACGAAACAATGATAAGATGACTTCAATTTTAGAAAGATAACCCTATATCAAATTCCGCCAATAACATGAAAGAAATCCAAACAACATAGTATATATTATGGTGAGTTGCCAAAATGAGAGGAAAAAAACCTAGCAAAACCAGAAATCATTCACATGATTTATTGTCATCAACAATTCCAAAAGGAAAGAAAAAATAAATCAAAGCCAGTTGATGGGCATGGAAGAGAAAGATGCAGGAAAAAAAAAACCCGAAAGCAAGAGGGAAATCAAAAAAGGGCTTGGGGAAGGATAGAGGTTAAAAAGCCTACATGCCCTGATCAACTAGGTAGTCACCCAACCTCTCAACCACCATGTTGCACTGTCCGGGAGTCACCGGTTCTTCATATATCCCGAAAATCAAAGCTTGCCCAGTCTTCTTCACAGTCACGCCCCCGGCGCCCTACAAGATTAATCACAACCATTTCCAGATATGATCAATAACGGATTTAGAAATTCTTTTGAGTATATATATGTATATATTAACAACACAAGCTTTTATACGTAGATGAACACCATCAATAAAAGACAATTAATAGAAAAAATTTCGGATTTCGGAACTACTACAAGTTGGAATAGGTCATTCTACAAATTGTTTTCTAATTAACCCAACACAAAAATATTGTGAACAAGAAACAATAAATAATAATTCACAATTAAAGATGATAAATGAAAGAGTAAAACAACGATTGACCTTCTTCCCACGAACAACAGCTCCTGGTTCTCCCTGGATCACCATGTACTTAACGCCACCAAGGTGCAGCCCAGTCGGTGCCAGAGACCCAGGCTCATCAAAATCTTTCAAGATGGCGGTGATCTCTTCGGGCTTAAACTGTCGGCAAAGGTGGAAAGAAAATATACATTATGAAAGACGACGACGATGATGATGAAGAATTGAAGAATAAGATGAGAATCGGATAGAGAGACCTTGGGGAAAGCGGAGCTCTGGGCCCAAACACTGCCGTCGAGACCGATGATGGCGGCGGCGGTCAAATGATTGCCGTTCTCGAGTTCGCACATCAAGTGCTCATCAACGTAAGTTTGCCACGACATTCTTGTTTGTTTCTTCTTCTTCTTTTTTATTTTATCAAAGCTCAAAAACACCCACGATTTTCACTTCCTTTTCAGCTTTTTCGAAAGGCCGGTCAGCAGTATAAATAGGACTATAGGAGGGATTAGTGGTTTCAAAAGGAACAGAGAGAAGTTGCACCCATTCAAACAGGAGTTAATTGTGGGACGGAGTTCCTGACGTGGTTGCACATGGCCTTGCCACCTCATCATGCATAGATTTGTTAAAAATAACCCCTGAACTCGCCAATCCATCCAATTACCTTTCCATTTTTTTTTCTTCTATATAATTTCTTTTATTTATTAACAATTTGGATGTGATATATAAATTAAACTTTCTTTTTTTAGTAAATAATGATATTCTTTTTAAGAAATTATCAAATGAATAAACCGGAGATATGATCCTCCCAGGACTTTACAAACACAGTGTTTAATTTGCCTTACGAAACCACACTCTTTAAGCTGTCTTCTCACATTTTCCAAGATCATTGATTTGAAGTTTGAACGAGCAAAGACGGTTGAAATTTTCAGGTTTTTTAGGGTTCTTCCGCCTCTACAAGAGTAATAATTTAAATACGAAAATGTAACTGAATTCATTGATATATTAAAATGAGAAAATCGCCTCAGTGACCAAAAATTCTATATAATATACGATTTTAACCAACTTTTTCCGGATTTGCCAAAATGACCAACAAAATCGCAATGCGATCGCTAATTCGCAACGCGATCTCCATTATCGCAAATTCGCGTTGCATTTTCGCAATGCGATAGTTGAAAATCGCGTTACGATGGTCTACAGTATCGTTGCGATTTTCCCAATTCGCAATGCGAATAAGTAAATCGCAACGCGAATTGGGAAAATCGCAATGCGAATAAGTAAATCGCAACGCGAATTGGGAAAATCGCAATGCGATACTGACTATCGCAATGCGATAATAAAAAATCGCAACGAGATACTTACTTTCGCAACGCGATACTGACTTTCGCAACGCGATAATACATAATCGCAATGCGATTTTCAAAGCGCCATTAGTATCCTGGCCAAGTATTTTATTTTTAAATTCCAAACATGAATATTAATGTATTGGAACACTGAACTGTCCACAGTATATCCCGTAATCGCAACTCATAACCTAAAACCTAAAATCACAACTCAGTCCCATCTCCATCTCTCACTCTCTCACCCATCTCCGACGAAATCCGTCCCCATCTCCGGCGAAATCCGTCTATCTAAATCTCTCAGAGCCACCCTCACAATCAGAAATGGAAAATCAACCAAATCAACCAACGAGGGTTAGTTTTTTTAATTATTTTCTTTTTGAAATTTTTGCATTATTATTAGGTTTTTCATATTGAAATTGATGATAAGTTTACTGGTAATTTCAATAATAGATTAACCATTTCACTTAGATTGCTTATTAAATCAACCAAGAATCGCAACGCGAAATGCAAATCGCAACGCGATTTTAGTTTCGCGTTGTGATTCTCTCGTTGCGATAGTCATTTTCGTGTTGCGATTTTCATTTTCAGAAACTATTTTTCTTCTGCAAATTGAAACTTGAATGAATTGCATTACTTCAACCAAAAAACAAAGACAAATACGAAATTCACAGTGTTGCATATTTAAGTTTGAAGAATAAACTACTACTATTTATGTTTATTATTGTTTTTGGTATATCTTCACAGTGTAGTTTTTGGTATATCTAATTTAGTATGTTTATTGTTTTTGTAGAACTTTTATTCGGCTCAATTGACCTTGAGAAATAAAGTCAGCCTGGCCAAAATAATTGCGTCGAAGCTTTCACCTGCACAAAGAAAAATGTTTGAGGATACATGCTTCGGGCCATGGCTGAAAGTACAACATCCCGGTGGAGATACGATGTTGACACACCTGTTTCTTCAAACCATGACTAGAGATCTACCAGAGACTATACAACGTCGTGATGAAGAGATATGGTTTGATTTTCCACCGGCGTATACGTGTTTTGGGCGGGAGGAGTTTTGCTTAATCACCGGTCTACGCTTCGGACACGATGATGTAGGTCGGTACACTAGACACATTACCCGCCCATCATGGCTATCCCGGGTTTTTCCTGAGCTGGAGAGGCCGAGTCTACACGTAGAAGACCTGACAAGATTTTTGAATAATAAAGATGGTTTTACTCGGATGGATGACGTCGACGTTGTCCGAGTATGCCTTCTAATTCTTTTGCATGCCGACTTTTTAGGCAGAGAGGCCAGACAACCTATTCCAAATGATCTAATCAAATTGGTAGAAGACCTAAATGCGTGGAACCTGTTTCCGTGGGGCTCGTATTTATGGAAAGCTACATGGAATAAGTTATCGTCTGCCTTAGATGATCGAAAAAGTTTGCATGGCGATGGTTCCAAATACACTTTGACAGGCTTTATTTGGGCCTTTAAGGTAAGAATTTTTATATAATGTTTCCAAAATTATAAGTAATTATTTAACAATTACTAATGTTTGTTATTATATTGTTTGTAGATTTGGATATTTGAGGCCTTTCCCGCCATGAAGACATATGCAATAAAAACTTCAAATAATATTCCCAGGGCTATTTCCTGGAAGAGACTCGATGATGTGACGGGATAGGTGATGGCTCTCGTTGTAGAGGTGTATAGTCGGGTCGATCAGGTGATGGCTCTGGGTGAGGTGATGGCTCTCGAAGTGGAGGAAGTGGAGGCTGGTCATCATTCGTGCCATCAAAAAAACGCTGACTAGCTTGCCACCAATCAGTGGCAAGCTCAGCCTCCGTGGGTGTCAGTCTCATTAATGGAGTGTTGGCCTCCTAAAAATATAAAAACTAAAACAAAGTTAAACGTCTACTATTAATAACTTGTTTATATATGATAGTATTTGTGTTAACTTACATGATTTATTGTCGCATATGGTATTAAGTCTTCCCAATCCAACATACGTTTCCTCTTCCAGGAAATAGCCCTAGGAATATCATCTGAGGATTTTAATGCATATGTCTGCATGCTGGGGAAAGCCTCGAATATCCAAATCTACAAACAATATAATAACAAACATTAGTAATTGTTAAATAATTAATTATAATTTTGAAAACATTATATAGAAATTCTTACCTTAAAGGCCCAAACAAAGCCTGACAAAGTGTATTTCGACCCATCGCCCCGCAAACTTTTGCGGTCATCAAAGGCAGACGACAACTTAGTCCAGGTAGCTTTCCATATATACGAACCCTACGGAAACAGATTCCATGCATTTAGGTCCTCTACCAATAATATTAGCTCCTGAGGAATAGGTTGTCTGGCCTCTCTGCCTAGAAAGCCGGCATACAAAAGTAGTAGAAGGCATACTCGGACAACATCGATGTCATTCATCCGAGTAAAACCATCTTTCTTATTAAACAATTTCTTCATGTCGTCGACGTGTAAGTTCGGCTTCTCTATTGACTCATCAGGAAAAACCCTGGATAACCATGATGGGCGGGTGATATGACGAGTGTACCAGCCTACATCATCGTGTCCGAATCGTAGACCAGTGATTAAGCAGAACTCCTTCCGCCCAAAACAAGTATACGCCGGTGGAAAATGAAACCATATCTCTTCCTCACCACGTTGTATACTGTCGGGTAGATCGCTAGTCATGGTCTGAAGCCACAAATGGGTCAAACTAGCATCTCCACCCGGATGCTGTACTCTCAGCCATGGCCCGAAGCAGGTTTCTTCAAACAATTTTCTTTGTGCAGGTGAAAGCTTCGAAGCAATTGTAGTGGCTAGGCTAACTTTATTCCTTAATGTCAATGAAGCCGAAAAAAATTTCTACAAAAAAACAATAAACATACCAAGTTAGATATACCAAAAATTACACTGTCAAGATATACCAAAAACAAAACAATAAACATAAATAGTAGTTTATTCTTGAAACTAAAATTTGCAACACTGTTTTTGTCTTTTGGTTGAAATGAAAATCGCAACGAGATAATGAGAATCGCAACGCGGAAATGACTATCGCAACGAGAGAATCGCAACGCGAAATGACTATCGCGACCAGACAATCGCAACGCGAAATAAAAATCGCAACCGCGAAATAAAAATCGAATGAAAATCGCAACGCGAAATGAAAATCGCAATGCGATTTTGGTTTCGCGTTGCGATTATCTCGTTGCGATAGTTATTTCCCCGTTGCGATTTTCATTCTCGAAACTATTCTTCTTCTGCATTACTTCAACCAAAAGACAAAGCAAAGACAAATACTAACTTCACAGGCTAAACAGTTTAGCAGTATTGGCAGCAATCGAATGAATTTAATAAGAAATCTAAGTGAAATGGTTAATCTATTATTGAAATTACCAGTAAACTTATCATCAATCTCAATATGAAAAACCTAAAATAATGCAAAAATTTCAAAATAAAAATAAAAAAAAACTAACCCTCGGAGATTGATTTTCCATTTCTGAATGATTGTGAGGGATTTTTGACTGTGAATGGTTGTGAGGGATTTCGCCGGCGATGGGGACGGAAATCTTCGGAGATGGGGACGGATTTCGCCGTAGAGAGTGAGAGATGGAGATGGGACTGAGTGTTGTGTTTTTGGGTTTGAGGTTATGAGTTGCGATTACTGTGGACGGTTCATTTTCCGATTTATTAAGAAAAAATACGTGTTTGGAATTTGAAAAAAAAAATACGTGTTAATACGAATGGCGCTATGTAAATCGCGTTGCGAAAGTCAGTATCGCGTTGCGAAAGTAAGTATCTCGTTGCGATTTTTTATTATAGCATTGCGATAGTCAGTATCGAATTGCGATTTTCCCAATTCGCGTTGCGATTTACTTATTCGCATTGCGATTTTCCCAATTCGCGTTGCGATTTACTTATTCGCATTGCGAATTGGGAAAATCGAAACGATACTGTAGACCATCGCAACGCGATTTTCAACTATCGCATTGCGAAAATGCAACGCGAATTTGCGATAATGGAGATCGCGTTGCGAATTAGCGATCGCATTGCGATTTTGTTGGTCATTTTGGCAAATCCGGAAAAAGTT